CCGCGGAGCCCCCGCCATGACGGTGAGTGCCGCGCGCGGCCCCGGCCGGGGGCAGCCCCGGGGGCGATCCCTGGGAGAGCGGAGCCACAGCCACCCTCCTAGGAAATATATATATATGTGTGCGTGTGTGTGTGCGTGTATGTGTATGTATTTCCTGGCGGTTCCTCTCCTTCCTCTTCGTGATCCCTGTTTCCCTCCTTCCTGGCCCCGCTCCAGGACCACCCGCCCCATGGGGTGCTCCCCTCGCCCCATGTCCCTGTCACCTCGTCGCAGCCTGGATCCGCCACAGGGGCTGGAATTGTCTGGGACCTGTTTCTCTCCTCACCTCCCCGGGCCGGGAGTGCAGAGGTGGCCCCCTCTTCCTCGGCACCGAGGAGGCAGCCTGGCCCCTGTGCCCAGCATCGCCGTGGGGTACCGAGAGAGCTGGGGGGAGGTTCTTGCCCCCCAGCAGGACCCAGGGTTGTGGCGGGGCCTGGCCCTGCACCCTGCCAGGAGCTGTCAGCTGCCGCTTCCTCCCTGTCCTGCAGCATCCTGCTGCCTTTCCTCCCCTCCCTGCTCCTCTTCCTCTCGGCCGCCAGCGCTGGGGACAGGCAGGGCGGGAGGCCTGCTGGTGCCTGGACTCGTGCCCCCCGATGAGCCAAACGCTGCTGCACTGGTGCCAGGTCCCTCCTTGCCACCATGTTCTGTTCTGTTCCTCATCTGCGGCACCATGAGGCTCCTGTGCAACCGTCTTTGTGGATGCTGTAGCAGCAGGCACCACCCCGCGGGAACAGGTATCCCCCTCCTAGATTGGTCAGCAGTGGTAAATCCATGCTTTTTGTAAACAGCGACTTCGCTGAGATCTGCTGAACTCGCCGATTTCAGGCAGTTCTAAAATCCACTTCAGCCAGGACGTGAGAAGTCCTCCCTCCATGCGGGGAAGGGATGTAGTCTAGCAGCAAGGAGCGTTGTTGGAAGCAGGAGGAAGGTTGTTGAGCAGAGTGGAATAATGGAGATGACAGACCGGGCCATGCCCGCAGGCTTTTCTCACGGAGGGAGGTTGTGGGAAAGGGAGAGCTCGTCGCCTGCTTGTTTTTGCAGTACGTGTAGCTTTGGGAGCTGTGTGCTCTCAAGCCTGAGAGCAGTTTTGCTTCCACTAAGCCAAGACAGAGCAGTTTGCTTTGTCTTTTGGCCTTGGGCCTTTTGCTTGTGAAGCAAGTTCCCTTTCTGGAACAGAGAAACACATGTTTTCTGGGGAGCTGAAAACCCTTTTACAGTCTTTCTTGTGGTGAAAAGGAGGTGAGAGAAAGCGGTAGCCCTGAACCTGTGGCCCTCAGGAGCTCTTGGGATCAGGAGGAGGGGAAGACACAGGGACAGCAATGGCAGGAAAGGGAAGGAGTCCACCTGACTGTCGCATCCCTTTCCCCTGGCTCTGGAGCCTGCAGTGCCAACCAGGATTTGTCTAGTCTAGCAAGCCAAGACGAAGTGCTCTCATTCTCCCCTTTGGTTGGCTGCTCCTTGGACTTGGAGCTTTTTTTTTTTTTTTTTTTTTTTTCTTCAGCGCCTTGTGGCATCTTCTCCTGTTTTCCATCATTCTGGGTTCTGCCTTTTTTGTACCACCCAGGAGTAATTCTTTCACCCCCACCCCATTGCCTTTCCTTCTTTGGTGTTTACATTCTTCAAATGTTTGCAGACTGTTATCAGACTGTAGCTGCTCTTCAGCCAGACCGAGCAGTCAGCTCTCTCTAACCTGGCCTTGTCAGCCATTCCTTCCAGACCTCACCTACCTTCCCAGCCACTCTGCTCCGGCGCCCCTACCTGGCCGGCCACGCGGTGTGCGGAGCTGGGTACAGCTCTGGTAGGTGGAGTCGCAGCCGGGCGGACTTGCTCTTGCCTCTGAAGCCCAGAGCTCTCCATGTGCAGCCCTGAGCAGCACTTCAGGGACAGCGGCTTTGTGTTTGGCTGGGGGTGCATCCGGTTGCATCTTTGCATCTCAGCTGGTGTTTGCCAATACCCGGATCTCTCAGGGTCGCTGCTTTCCTGATCGTTTACTTCCTCCTGTCTCTGGGCCTTTTCCTCAGATGCAGTGTTCAGTCTCTGTTCTCTGGCTGTATCTCAGGCTGTTTATTCCAGATGATGAAGCTGAATTTGGTTGCGGAGATGGGGAAAGAAAGGGAACTTCAGATATCCCTTGCTGTGGTACCATCCTGCCTACAAGAATAATTTCAAAGACGTTTCCATAGCTGTGCTCCACATCTAAGGGCTGCAGGGAAAGGAGACTATTTCTGCCCTGTGCAATTCACATACTTGGGGAAAAGCCCTGTGGGAGGCATTTTCTGGCCCTAGTCCTGCATAAAGGGCAGAAAAAAGGCAGGGATGTGGTGGCAGAGGTTCTGGCAAGACTTGTACAATGCTGGGATTTTGTTGGGGGTTTTTTTTCCCAGTGGAGTGTGCTCTGTTCTTGTCCATTACTTCACCAGTTAATGCTTTGGCTGTGGAAGTCTTCAACAAGATGAGACCTAGTTGGTCTGTACAATAACCCTGGCCAGAAATCCTTTCGCTCCCTGCCTTGCTGTATTGTTCTTTTGCCTCTCTGATCTCAGCTGCGTTATTGCCTGCAGGACTCGGAGCCCAGAGCCTGCCCCATAGTTTCTGTGAAGGCGCTTTCCTAAAATCCAGATGCCTCTAGGAAGCTGCATTTCCTCTGTCTCGCAGCCTGCTTAATATTGCGGCTTTGGTTTGGTTTTGAAGCACCCCAAAAAGGAGGGGAGAGCAGTCCCCGCTTGTGGTTGCATTACTCTGTAATGTCTATTACTCATCGCAGCCGTTCCTGGGAAGCAAGTGCGTGGACATCTGGTAGAGTGGAGGAAAAGCTGGGCGGCCTCTGGGGACGCTGGGTGGGCTCGGGCAGAGCAGACGTTGCGCTCACACTAAGGGCCCCAGAGGAACCGAATGCGCCTGTGTCTCCTCCGCCTGATGCACGTGCGTCCCAGGATGGGAGGTTGCTCTTAGCATTTTGCTTCCTTTCCTTCCCCTCCTCCTCCTCCGCCCCACCGCTCCCAATCTGGAGCCAGAGCTGAAGTCACTGGATTGGAAGGGATAGCGGGAGAAAGGGTGGAGCTGCTGCCACGGGGAAGGAATTAATTTTCGGGGTGTTTTTCTCCAGAGCGGCGGTGGGGCTGGCGGGGGGCCTGGGGCTGTGAGAGAGGACGCAGGCGCCTTCCTCCTTTCCCAGCCCCTGGCAGCCGCTGTGGGGGAGCCCGCGCTGCGTCGCTCCCGTTTCCCTGCCCGGCTCCCTGCCGCGGGCACTGGGGGCTGCAGTCGGATGTTGTGGCCCGGCCTGTAGCTGGGGCGGGGGGCCGGC